GGTTAAAGTCTTTTTCCTACCCATAATCTTTCCCTTGGAACGTAGCCACCATGGATGGGACTCCAAGTGTAATAGTCACTGAAGAATGCGGTACCATTAGACACCATATGGGACGAGGGCGAGCGAGATACACGAGGAAGATAAAATCTAAAACAGAAAGTGATGATGGCTAGAGTTGTTGCTCTGTGTCTAAGCATTGATCTCCACATAATCTTTCCTACCCATCGGCTTTGCTTCTTCTCCACATTTTTCCTTCCTAGATACTATTTTGTTTGCCCACAAAATTGTTTCCAAGTGTTTTACTACCATGGGAACGTGGATATAACTTGTATTTAACTTATATTTTAAAATTATAACTTAAAATGTATTAGTTAACACATAGAAGAGAATCAAGTTCATTGATTTTTAAATTGTATCTTCAAAATTTTTTTATAATAAATTATGATTTCAATTAATTTATGATTTAGCCAATCGAGTTACATATGAATTTTATTAAAAGTAAATCTTTTTAACTTCATTGGCGATGTTGGAATTCTTGCCTTGTCTCTTATTAGGAGTGCCCACAAAATCTAAATTAGGTACCCGTCGGCTCAAGTGTCAGGGAATTCCCCTCCCTCCTTTATTCCTTGTCTGTGTATAGGGTAGAGATATCAAATTTTAATCATTTTATCCTTGTGTATTTACTTATATTTCAATAATGTCCAACAGTGAGGGGAGAGAGACTTTACTTAAAGTTCAACCACATCATTTTTAGTAGACATAATATTTTAAAAAGTTATTGAATTATTTAAGAAAATTTAAATAAATTTTTATTCTTCTATCGTGCTTAATCAATTTCATGTATTTTTATTTTGGCCAAGTAGATCTTTATGACTAGCAGTTAATTAGGGTGTGCAAATGCAAACCGAATCAAAATATCGAACCAAACCGAACTGAAGTGAGTTTAGGTTTTTTACTTCAATTAGGTCGATTTTTAGAATAGTTTGGTTATTAGAGTTAATTAGGTTTGATT